CGTCAAGGGGCGTACAATCTAAAATATATATATTGTACATTCACATCAGTCAATAAGCCTCAAGGGGTGTACAATCTAAAATATATATATTGTACATTCACATCAGTCCCTAAGCCTCAAGGGGTGTACAATCTAAAATATATATATATTGCACATTCACATCAGTCCCTAACCGTCAAGGGGTGTACAGTCTAAAATATATATATATTGTACATTCACATCTGTCCCTAACCCTCAAGGGGTGTACAATCTAAAATCTATATATTGCACATTCACATCAGTCCCTAACCCTCAAGGGGCGTACAATCTAAAATATATATACTGTACATTCACATCAGTCCCTAACCGTCAAGGGGCGTACAATCTAAAATATATATATTGTACATTCACGTCAGTCCCTAAGCCTCAAGGGGTGTACAATCTAAAATATATATATTGTACATTCACATCAGTCCCTAAGCCTCAAGGGGTGTACAATCTAAAATATATATATTGCACATTCACATCAGTCCCTAACCGTCAAGGGGCGTACAATCTAAAATATATATATTGTACATTCACATCAGTCCCTAACCGTCAAGGGGTGTACAGTCTAAAATATATATATTGTACATTCACATCTGTCCCTAACCCTCAAGGGGTGTACAATCTAAAATCTATATATTGTACATTCACATCTGTCCCTAACCCTCAAGGGGTATACAATCTAAAATATATATATTGTACATTCACATCAGTCCCTAACCCTCAAGGGGTGTACAATCTAAAATATATATATTGTACATTCACATCAGTCCCTAACCCTCAAGGGGTGTACAATCTAAAGTCCTTAACTCACATTCATACATACACATACTAGGGACAATTTAGACAGGATCCAATTCACCTACCAGTATGTATTTGGAGACAATAACATAACAATATGTTTTAGGGCTTGTTTACACTCGTATCGCACTCTGAGGAGCAATTAGTGGTGGATCACTTTTCAGAAGGTGTTTGAGAGGCGGTGAGGAGGCATTATCTCTCCTCACTTCCTGTTTAACCCCTAGAAGCCTGCACCACTGTATCTTAACCATATGCATTACACGCCCATGACCTTGCAGCACAGCCATTCACTTGAATGGGTAACATTAGGCAGGCAGTCTTAATTCTTGCCTCAGGCGTGAAGCAAAGCAGTACAACCACAGCATATGTACACCCTCATTTACTGCCTATGCAGCTTAACCACTTCAAGTCCGGACACTTTGACCGCTTTCCTGTCCAGGCCAATTTTCAGCTTTCAATGCGATCACACTTTGAATTACAATTGCGCGGTCATGCAACACTGTACCCATATGAATTTTTTAGCATTTTTTGAGACAGATAAAACTTTATTTTGGTGGTATTTATTCACCACTGGGATTTTTATTTTTTGCTGTATAAATGAAAAAGTCCTTTTCTTATAAAATTTTGCAAATAAATAATCTTTCTAAATATTGGCCACAATGTATTCAGCTATCTTTGTAGTAAAAAAAACCCAAATGAGTTTATAACCAAAGATTATAATTTTTCAATTTTTTTTTAATATTTATATTTATTTTATTATTTTTTTTTAACATACCATCACCCTAACAGTACAGTGTTACCATAGTGACACTGTACTACTTGTGGGGGGTGATGAAGATTTTTTTTTTCCTTTTTTTTCACTGATTGCTTTTACACCCATAGAGGCTGTTAATGCAATAATTTCTCCTTCTCTCTGGCTGCATTCCTGCAGCCATTGAGAAATACTGTGAGAGCTATGATTGGTCACAGCTTGTCACATGGTACAAGGCTGTTGTGAATAGCCTCGTACCATGTGACCTCTGTGATCATTCACAGATTTCACACGTAGTAAGCAATGATGTCAGAAGTGACATCTTGTTTACTACTGTTCATGTGATCACTGATTGGTCAATCAGGGATCACATGAATCGGGACCTCACACAGAGGTCCCATACAGCGATTAGTGTTCCGCTGTGTCCTCCGGACACAGCGGGCACCGATCGTGGTGCCGTGCATTCCCAGGGAGTGCGCACAGGCAGTGAATGTGGGGGCCGTTTATAAAAAGGCCATCCGCTTCAGCACTGCTCCCATCCGGCCATTTATGTACATGGGCCGGACGGGAAGTGGTTAAAGTCGTACTATGGGTTATCCCTGTCACTTTATTTTTTGCCAGCTGGGTTCCATTAGGGAGATATACCTTCAAGTATATCCAAAATAGCAACATCACTGTAAATTAAGGGATTTCCTTGGGGACCCCCAAGTCACCAGAACTAGTGTCCCCCTTGGAAAATTTCTGCTCTATTGCTTTTCTGGGGACAACCCAACATTTGTTTTTGTTTTTTTTTTTACATTCACTTTTGATGATCATGGCAAACAGGACAAATGGAGAGGGTGAATCTCCCTAAGGGAGGCACAGACAGCAATAAAAATGTAATAGGTAATCTATTCCCTCTCCACTCTGTCCAAAACTAAAAAAAAAAAAAGGTTTTGCTTTTAGTTATAGGGTAAAGCAGTTGGGGGGGGGGTATAAACACAGCATACCCATGTTTTTACCACCTCCCAACCAGAAGTGTGAACAAGGCCTAAAGTAGATGTAAACCTTAACTGAATGATACTGAGTTTGCTAAAGCACCGTGTATCATAATCAGTGCTGCCATTCTCTCCTGCAACATCTTTGCAGCAGCTTCTTGTCACAAGCAAGCTGCATGCTTTTTTCAAGGCATTTTTCCTGATGGGGGCAACGATGGACCATGTCTGAGTAATATGTATTGAAATACTTTAGAAATTTGTGTGACAGAGTGACAGGAATATAATTGGAAGGCAAGGACGGAGCGCAGTCACTTACATAGTTATTCTGGTTGAAAAAATAGACAAGTCCATCTAGTGCAACCAACAGAGCAAAAAACAAGTAGAAAAAGTCCGTATACCCAATCCTATACCCACAGTTGATCCAGATAAAAGCAAAAAAAAAACCCAATAAAGCATGACTGAATTTGCTGCAGTGGAGGAAATAATTTGTTTCCTGATTCCCCGGGAGGCAATCGGAAATTAACTACCCCTGGTCACCCTGTAATACAAAGTGCACGAATAAGGTTCTTTATAGCAGGACCACCATCTATTATTTTACTGAAATCTGCTGATAAAAAAATATATTTTTTAAGTAATTTTTTTTTTTTAAATTACATTTACCTGTTAAAGAGTATATGAGAGTTTAGTGATTGGGTTTTACATATGCTTTAAAGTGTTACTAAACTCAGGACCCTGCATCCACTATATCTGGTCTCCCTGGACCCTGCATCCACTATATCTGGTCTCCCTGGACCCTGTATCCACTATATCTGGTCTCCCTGGACCCTGCATCCACTATATCTGGTCTCCTTAGACCCTGCATCCACTATATCTGGTCTCCCACAGTACACACAACATGGAAGTGCAAATATTTTAATAAATATAAACTGCTAAATACCTTTTCTCATAAGCTTAAGTTAGAGCAGTCTTGTGGCTTCTATCAGTGTCCAGCAGAGCACTAGCTAATGCTTGTAGGAGGAGTTTTCCTTCTGCTCTAAGATGATAGAAATCCCTTGACCTCTGTCTGGATAGTGCTGATTGGCCCTGCGCTGATCACATGTACTCTCCCAAGAAAAAAACACCCCTCTAGCAATATACACCAAACTGAGCATGTGCATGCCTAGTCTGGAGATAAGTGGTGGTCGCTTGAAAAAGGGGAGGAACAGAGAACAAAGGATCAAACAGCCTTTTTACACAATGCAGAGAATTAACCCCTTAGGTTCCACAGTGAGTATAGCAAGCATGCTTTACTACATATACAGACTGATTTTACTGTTGTGGGTTTAGTAACACTTTAAGCATTTATCTGAAAGGATTTAAGACAAGCAACAGGAAGTTGTAAAAAAAAAAACATAAAACACAATGCGTAAGCGATGCAGCAACAGTAGTTACACCTGCGGCTAGATACATGGGCTCCAAGGAATAGGGCCTTGAATGTGACTTTGTACTACTATGAGCTAGTGCTGTGCATCAAATCATCCCTCCAATGACCTGCTATGGGCTTTTCCACTATTCACATCATTATTTCTTCTTGCTCTCCCATATTAAATAAGCCTGGTAATGTTAAACAAATGTTGAACCATCTCAGTTGACATGACTGCTCAGTACTTGATTGATAGCCAGGGGAACTGCTAATAGCAAAATAATGCAGATGCTTCCCCTAGAATACTTATCCAGTTTAGCGTATTTTATTTTAATATCCCTAGCACTAATGTATTTCTGGAGCGTGCATGCCAAGCAGCACAAACTACATATCTTTGTTTAGGATAGAGGATAACTAAGACCAATTGAACGCTAATAACATTTATATTGGAATCATAGACATGTCATTTTAGACTTGTACACTGCTAAGGAAGTGTTTAGCATACACATAGTATTGACCCCTCTCAAGGCACACATGTGCTGTGTCTTCTACATCTATGGGCTCCCCCAAGGCTTGCCTCCTAAGCAGCTGCACTTCGACTGTGATTAAGCTCTTCGGAGTAAAATGCATTTATTTTATTGAAGCAGACCTTCATTGGGGTCAGCAGCCAGAGTAGCTTACACCAACCTACAGATATCCTTAGAAATACTCATTTTTAACAATTGCCAGCATTCCCTAATTGCCAGTTATACCTCAATAATAAACCTTCATTCACGGGTGTATTTACTTTATCAAACAACAAAAGCTCACTCTTGTATTAGATCAAGTGATCAACCATCTTTAGCAGACACATTTACAATGAATAACTCAATGCATTTGAATAATATTGGGCATTCATTTATCTTAGTAATAATGCTCTGAGTATTTATAGATATAGAAAGAGCAGATCCAAGCAGAGAAAAAATTCTTGTTAGGTAATTCTCATTACAGGGAGATTTCCTGCATTCCTTTTTGTATTGACGAGAAAACTTTTTTTTTCTTACAGTGATGGTTACAAGCAAATTATGCCCTATGATCTTTATCACCCCCTTCCCAGGTATGTATATCTTTTGTTTACAATGAGTAGGATTCTTGCATGAATGCTTATACGGTATACGGCTAAATAGCAGTCTTGGTTTTATAACTGCATAGATGCTGTATGAAAGGTAAGGTTTATGTGTGATCCCCTGTACATCTCTTTGCCAGTCCCAGAATGAGTATTTTTATTTTCAAAAAAGTGACAGTGGTTTTCAGAGTCCAATGAAATTTGCTAGGCCCAGAATGAGTATTTTTATTTTTAAAAAAGTGACAGTGGTACAATGAAATTTGAAAATTAAAGCCATATAGCTGAAAATAAAGGGGATAATTCATTACAAACTTTTCCAGACAGTATGGCTCTTTAAAGTGGCCTGTGCCAGATTTAAAAAGCTCTGCCACCCATTTGGTAGTTTTAATGACAGCAGATTCAGGTAGTTTTAAAAAGTGGTGCTATAGCTACACCAAGTTCAAAAAGAATTACTTCCAATTTGTAGATAAATAAACTTGGGGCATTAAGATCAAATTAAACTTGGCATAGAGAGACAGGCAGAGTGCCTGTCTCTATATACTGCTGTGTAACAGAGGGGCATAATTACCACTGCTACCCCCTTCCCACCTGTCACTGGTTTTTAACCACTTCCCTTCTGGCCCATGTACATAAATGGCTGGAGGGAAGCAGTGCAGAAGCGGGTGGCCGTTTATAAACGGCCTCCACATTCACTGCCAGTGCACGCTCCCTGCACTGCGATCTGGTGTACGGGACCTCTGTGTGAGGTCCCGATCATGTGATCACTGATTGGCCAATCAATGATCACATGAATAGTAGTAAGCAAGATGTCACTTCCTGACATTGCTTACTACTAGTGAAATCTGTGAATGACCAGAGGTCACATGGTACAAGACTATTCACAACAACCTTGTACCATTTGACAAGCTGTGACCAATCACAGCTCTCACAGTATTTCTCAATGGCTGCAAGAATGCAGCCAGAGAGAAGGAGAAATGATTGCTTCTACAGCCTTTATGGGTGTAATAGCAATCAGTGTAAAAAAAAAAAAAATCTTCATCACCCCCCACAAGTAGTACAGTGTCACTATGGTGACATTGTACTGCTAGGGTGACAGTGTGTTCAAAAAAACATAAATAATAATATAAAAAAAATCTAATAAAAATGTAAATAAAATTTTTTGAAAAATTATAATTTTTGGTTATAAACTAATTTGGGTTATTAATTTTTTTTTACTAAAAAGATAGGTGAATACATTTTGGCCAAGATTTATGAAAAAAGATTTTTTTTTTGCATAATTTTATAAGAAAAACACTTTTTGTCAAAATTTTTGGACTTTTTCATTTATATAGCAAAAAATAAAAATCCCAGTGGTGAATAAATACCACCAAAATAAAGTTTTATCTGTCTCAAAAAAATCCTAGAAAATTCATATGGGTACAGTGTTGCATGACCGCACAGTTGTCATTCAAAGTGTGATAGCAATGAAAGCTGAAAATTGGCCTGGACAGGAAGGGGGTGAAAGTGCCCGGACTTGAAGTGGTTAATGATGCTGTCACAGCCAAAAGGCTTTTAGCAACCAATGATGCTGACAGTGAGCAGAAATTGATGGGTAAGCTAAGGGACCAGTTCTCCATCAGGATCTGCTTGTGATTCACTGCAGGCACTGGGAAGATTTTATAGCCAATAGCAGGATGTCTATTGGTTATGGATCCACCCACTGCCTACTGTCAACCACAAGGAGAGCAGACCTAATGGGGAACTGGTTTCTGTTAATCCCCATCAGACTCCCCCCACCAAGCTTTAAAACTCCTTTGCAGGTCTGTGTGAAAGGTGCAGTGGCAGGGAGGAAGCTTAGCCACACTGAGGACAGAGTGTCAGAAGCCAACAGAAACATGAATTTGTCACCCGCACCTACATTTATCGAGTGGACGCACAATGAAGAATATGACACTCTTTGAGAATTCCACTGAGAGTACCTTGTGGTCATTAGGCGTAACATAAATGGCACTATGAAGTTTAATGGAGTGGGATTTTTTCAGCAACACAACCATGTTCTGTTAGTATATAGAAGTTTTAAATTTGCTACTATTATTCAGTAATACTTTTAAATGCCCAAAAAATAGCCAGTCTGTCAAATCATGAATACAGACAAAAACATGAAATATGTAGCATGTGGTCTGTGAAGTGTAGGTTTGTTACATGTTTCCTGTTCAAAAATTCTATTCTTGCTTATGTATAGGAGACAGGCTCTTTTTAACAAGACTTTGACTTAGTTATTTGCACTATAATTTGCTTGGTTATAGTATTTTTTATAAAAGCATAGTTTACTGACATATGTTCTCCTGTATTTGTTCCATGAGTAACATTCTTTGGTTAGCCCAGCCCTGTAAAGAAGTAATGGCAGTAAAGAGTAATGGCAATGCAGGGTTTACGCAGAGGCATGCGTGATTCAGTACAATGAAGGCAGACAGTGAGTGACAGCCATTCCTATTCACCACTGCAGGAATCACTTACATTTTAAATCCATGCTGAAAACCATTTCAGGCAAACTTTGGTCTCTTAATTTGCAGCAGGCAGGGATGTTGTTCATCATGTTTGGATAATAGAGTGTAAAATTGCTAATCATGCCTTAAAGTGGTTTTTATTATGTTAAGGCTATTAAAAAAAAGTGTTCCTTCTCTGTTGCTTCCATACAAATATCCTCACGCTGTTTTATATGTCTTCTGTAACAAGGTCATTATGTTTGATTAAATGGTAAATTATAGAACCATGAAACATTGCCCTTTTGAGCTCCAAAAGAGAATTTACAAAAGATTGATCAGACAGAATATAAAGAAGAAAACCTGTGTTCACTTTAACCAGCAAATCAATTTATTTCTAATTGTTACAGTCATTCTTAAGTTAACTTTTTCATTTTTAGATGCCATGTTGTGTTAATAAATGAGAAGTTTAGTGGGTTAAGCTGGCCATACACGTGTAGGTTTTCAGACGAGAATATTGGTACGAAAAGTCGTACGAAAATTCTTTGAACATTCAGTAAATGGACGAATGTCATTTGAAAATTGTCTTTTGCTTTTAACATTGGAGTTTAAAATGAATGTAATTTCTGAACAATAATAACCACATATACTGGCCAAAAATTTGTTTGATTAAGAAAAGTTTTCCTTCCTGCCCCTTCGAATTCTCCTGTCACTGCAGTCGAAAACAAACATCAATTTGACCACACTAACGATTAGAAAATCAACGAATATTCTTGAAACAAAAATTCTTGAATGAAAATCTATGTGTGTATGGCCAGCTTAAGACAAATGATGGGAACTAGTGCCAGTGGCATAGACACTGAAGTTTATCTTCATTTTAACACAGCACAAAAAGTTGAAGTAATTCTAAATGCTCCCTTTTATTTTTGTTTTTAAATAACACACATGGTATACAAACCTTCCCTGTGCAATAATTTTGCACAGAGCAGCCCTGATCCTCCTTTTCTTGGGTCCCCTGCTGGCACTCCTGCCCCCCCTCATGCTGAGTACTGGACACAGAGTCATCTCAGGAATGAGCATGCACAAATGCCCCCATAACAAGGAGCTTGCTATGGGGGCATTTGTGCATGCTCGCTCCTGAGATGACTCTGTTCATAGGACACACAGTGTGCAGCTCAGCCCCGCTCCCTCCTCACTGGCTGTGATTGACAGCAGCAGGAGCCAATGGCTTCTGCTGCTGTCTTTGAGCCAATGAGGAGGGAGAAATCCCAAAGAGCCGTTGCTATCATGCACATCACTAGATTGAGATCAGGCTCAGGTAAGTATTAGGGGTTGCTGAAGGTCGGGAGCTGCACACAGAAGGTTTTTTACTTTCATGCATAGAATGCATGAAGGTAACAAAGTCTTTTGCCTTTAGCAACACTTTAACCACTTGCCCTCCAGAGGATTTACCCCCTTTCTGACCAGGCCATTTTTTGCAATACGGTGCTGCATTACTTTAACATGCAACACTGTACATAAATGAAATTTTGTTCCCACAAATACTGCTTTTTTTCAGTGTTATTTAATCACCTCTGCATTTTTTATTTTTTGCACTATAAACAAATAAATACCAAAAAAAACCCAATATTATTCACTTTTTGCTATAAAACATATCTAGTAAAAAAAATTTAATTTCTTCATAAATTTAGGCCAAATTTATTCTGCTACATGTCTTTGCTAAAGAATATCACAATGCATGTAAATTAATTGGTTTACGTGAAAGTAATGGCAATTACAAATGACGGTATATATACTGGAATTTTTATTATTATTCTTTTTATACTAGTAGTGGCGGTGATCAACAACTTATAGCGGGACTGCGGCAGGCATTCTGACTCTGGGTGGGAACTAACTACCACTGACATCCCAATGACACTAATACAATGATCCATGCTAATAAAAAGCACTGACTGTACTAATGACACTGGGCAGGAAGGGGTTAACATCTGGGGCGATAAAAGAGTTAACTGTGTGATGTGTGCTATTTTGCATAATGTTCTGTTTGTGTTTTACTAGGGAAACATGCTGCTGTGTATTTCCCTGCTGTGCAGAGAAATACACAGCAGCATGATCCTCCTGGCAGGAGTGAAACCTGTGTTGTTTACACACAGATCTCTCCCCTGTCAGTTTTACTTGATGATCGTTGGGAGTCTGTGGGGAATCTCTGGCCAGGACCCGATGATTGACATCCATAGCCACCAATGACGGGGCAGGTAGGGCGGCACATGCGCACACCCCCTGCCCAGAAATATAAATCATGTATATATACGTGATTTTGCTCAGCCCTGCCACCCTGTAGCAGTAGTTATAGGGCAGTGGGCAAGCAGTTAAGTATATCCAGACACAAAGTTTTTTTTCTTTTTTCAATTGTGGACAGAACCAAAAATGGTTATGAAGATATACCCTCTCAATTTGTCCTGGTTACTGTTGACACCAGGGCAAAAAATGATGATTTGAAATCTAAATATTAACTAGCTGGCACCAAAACAGCAGGTGAAGGGAAACAGACAACTATAGAAATACTGACGGGGTCCTAACTATTTCCTAACCTATCCAAAACTGAATAAACATTTTGGATGCTGATGTACAGAAGATGCTTCACTCTATAACTGTATGCCTTGACCCAGCTCAATTTCGGACATCAGGGATTTCTTGGAGGACATCATTGTGCCGAGCCTAATGAGAACCCCCATTTTTTCCCTCTTTCATTATTATTATTAAGACTTTAATATTATGTTATGTCCCTGGGAGCTCCCACAGTGCTTCATATAGCAGAGATTAGAAATAGTTAAGTAAAACCACTGCACAGTAGAAGTCAGGAGTCGTTTTTGAAGTAACCTGATTCTTGCATTGCTCCTGCTTCTGAGATCATTTTTTTAATGACCTAAGCTTCCAGCCTGGCTTCTCCTGAGTGTAAAAATATTAGTTTTAAATCTCATCTTACAGGTCTAAAGTCAGAGCTGCTTTAATGATCTGAAGAAAGTCCCCATCCAGCTCGCTTGGAAACCGGATGCTCACTATTGTTCCTTACACAATATATTTAAAAACATACAGTAGCTAAAGCTTTTCCAGTTCTCGTGTCACTTTTTTCATAGGCTTTGCCTTGCACTGTAACAAAAAGTCTTACATATTAGCATCACCATTTTTGCTGAAAATTTGGAAACAACATATTCTGATGCCATTCTTTGCCTACCTCCTGTGATGCTATAGTGATGATTGATGTCTGGAATCTCTTTTATGATAGAAACCACTGTCAAAATAATCGCTGGTTATTGTCTGGGCATTGTTAGTTCTCTGTAGAGCAATATGCCATTTTTTTTTAAGTTGTGTTATTATTTGATCTTTTTGTTCAAATTCAAATTTGCAATTTCTATTCAATTTGCTATATAGCAAGAACAGGATATTGCAGCAACGCATGATGAGCACACCATGTTTAAGTCTGGCAAAGCGAAAGGCAATTGTATATGGGAACCTTTATTCAATATAAAGGTGCATAAAGCCCATACTTCATGTTTCATTACACACCAGTACACAAACAAAGCACACAGCGTGAAGTTGTTTCTCTGTTTCAAGCTCAGCTGTCCATGTACACGATCCTTTCATCAATGCTGTTCCTATTGAAATGTTCAGTTTTTATTGCTAAATTAAGAAAACATTTAACAAGACGAGTACAGGGCAAAGGTAATTTAGTGTGAGCTGCCTTTAGTCAAAAGCCTACTCTGTCAATTAAAAATAGAGGTTGTACTCTACCCCAGCCTTTTTCATCCAGGTACTCTAGGGTGTCTTCAGGTTTCTTCGGGGGTGCCGTGGCAAAATGCCTAAAAAGTGCCCAAAAGATTGTATACACGCCAGCCTGCCTTTAGGTTACACAAAGCCACAAGTTTTCATTGTGCACCATTACAACTTTCCAGCTGCCAGCGACTTAACAATCAATGATGTCATCAGTTGGTAAGAAGGACATCTGGCCCTTGCACGGCATCTTTGCTTGCCCCTGCCCTTCCCTTCTCCATCAGCACTGGGGTCACATTAGCTGAGTGAGAGAGAGAGAGAAACTGAGGGAGAAGAGAAACAATGGAATACTACTCAGTACCAGTGTGCAGTAGTGTATTTTCTTTGGAAGAATAAATCACCTCTAAAGTTGGGTGTCCTACATGTGTGGATGTTGCTGTGTCCTGTAAAACGATTCATTTAGGTTTTTACCTTTTGTAATAGGTGCCTCAAGATTGTACAGTATTTTAAAGGCTGCTTCGAGATTGTGCAGAATTTTAAAGGGTGCCATAACTGAAAAAAGGTTGAGAAACACTGCTCTACATCATTATCTTCAAAACACAGCTTTTTCTCAAAAGTAAAAACCTGTTCTAGAGATTAGGATCTGATAAAGTGGTATTAAACCCAAAAACAAAAATGTAATATATTGCAGTTTACCAATTCTTAGATGTGATGTCTGCATTATTTTTTATCTCTATTTTTCACCTGGTGATTCAGCCAGTAAAACACTTCCTGTCTTAGGGTGTCTCCACTCTGGATAGAGGAACAGTGGAGCCGCCCTTGGACAGTAACATCTAGCCAATCTAGGGAGATGATAGTGTTAGATGCATTAGCAGATTTAGATAAACTTGACTATTAAATACAGTAATTCCGAACTCCAGCTAACACTTTTTAAGCATCTACAACAGCAGGTTTTTTTTCACTTTTGGAATAAAGGTTTAATATAAATTAATAAAAGCTGACCATTGTAAGCACCCTGTCAGTGGTAAATGGTTTGTCTCAGCCCTCTAACTGCCACTTTTGCTGTACAGCTTGGTTTGTTAAAGGAAGTTGAAAAATAACAGACTTACTGGCTGGATCACCAGACAAAAATAAAGGGAAAAATCCCCAAAAAAGAAAAATATTGCAGCCACCTAATTTAGAATTGGTAAACTAAAATATTTGCATTTTTATTCTTGGGTTGAATACCGCTTTAAATGATAAGTTCACCTTTTGGCTAAAAATAATTAATGCACATTTTTTTGCAGGTAGAAAAATGTGCATTTATTATTTTTGGTTGCAGGAGCCTATAAAGCATTGCAACAGTGCATTGCAGATCGCTGGTGCCATGCAGATCTCCTGCAGACCTGTCAGTACATACCGTACTGGCAAACAGATATACTTCCGGGGAGATTCAATGAACTACTACAGCACGCCACAGCACCGCGGTAGTTCATTGAGAACTACAAGCCAACAGCCGCTAAGGCTGTCTCCCCATTCTTCTTTCACAGGGAGGAGGGGGGGGGGGGGCAGTAGGCAGTAGCTGCAGCACTGGGAACATGTTACATGTTCCACCCTAAAAAGCGGTGGAACATGTAACATGTTCCCAAAGGTGAACTTATCCTTTAACTATTTTCATTGAAATGAGCTTTGTAACTAAAATTGTATGTTTTCCAATTATTTCAGAGTCTTAAATTTTTTCATTTATAAAAATATATATATTTATCATATTTCTAATAAGTATTCAGTTTTCTATTTTCTTATTTTTCTAAGATGGGAAAGTACTCCCTGGACTGCTTGCTCTTCGTCTTGTGGTGGAGGAGGCATCCAAAGCCGGACAGTCTCTTGCGTGGAGGAGGATATGCAGGGCCATATCAGCTCTGTTGAGGAATGGAAATGTATGTACAATCCAAAGATGCCTATTGTCCAGCCCTGCAATATTTTTGATTGCCCTAAATGGCTGGCTCAGGAGTGGTCACCGGTGAGTTTCCCATACTTCCCATTATTTAGTCATATAACATATAGTATTAAATACAATATGTAAAGTGGAACTTCAAATAAAAAATTATAATCTGGGGAGATCATCCTTATGTCCTATATACATGTTCCACTTCACTGCCATATTTCAATATCATTGTAAACATCCTGCATGGAAACAGAATTCACTTTACATAATTTTCCATATGACATGGATGATGGGTTTGCCTAATCACCCATACTGCTTTACCTGCCAAAGGATTGATAATCCTGTACAGGCAATCTTGTGACTGGTACACACATTTTCCAAAATACACAACCACATGGATAATATTTAGTTCTTAATTTAAAATTTAATCTTTCTATGTCTCCTCTCCAACCTCCTTTCTGGACAATCAATCTGTATCATAACCTCTGTCCATTAATCAATGAACTGACCCACAAAGCAGTAATGCAAATCCAGCATAGCAGAGTGACCTACAGTGTTTATAAGTGGTGTGTGTAGCTGAAAATTGATTGGCCAACTACCTATCTTTGGCAGGCAACATATACAGTATGTGGGTATTTTATCTGTGTATTTACCTGTTTGCCTAAAGTCCCACTTTAAACACTTGAAACCTTATTCAGTACCAGTTTATAGACTGTCAAGTAGTCACAGACTTGGTGTGAGGGACCGCCGAGCGGCACCCCTAGCACTCCACTGGTCAGGCGTGCCCAGAGCGCGCGGAGTCTAAGCCCCAGGGTACTTGTTCACCAGGGCCCCTGATGGTGGGGATGGACTTGTAGTACCCCGAGACCAGGTCGCCACTACTGAGCACACCTGTCAGTGGTAGGAGTGTTCGCCAGGGGCTCCAACCATGGAGAGCCAGATGTGAGGAGGCCGGGTGACCCCGATGGGATGGATGGCTGAGCAAGTGCGAAGTCAGACAGGCCGAGTTGGTAACGTAGAGGACGGTAAGGTACAAGGGAGCAGGTAGAGAATCGTCGGGTCACACGCCAGGTCAGCAACAGGAGGTCAGATCTAATGAGGCGCATCCAGGGAGAGAGGTCAGGCAAAGCAAGGGTCTGGGCAGGAGAAATCAGCAGGTCAAGAACAATCCGGGTCAATAAACTTACAAGGCACAGGTACAGAATCACAGGAAGCAGGTAAGACCAGAAGGCAACGAAATGACAGCTCAGGGACATTTAAATATCCCGCCCTGCGCTGCCATTGGTGCCCAGCGGGCAGCCGCGGCTTCTACTGCGCATGCGCGAACTCGAACGCCGCGGCCGGCCCGGACCTAGTGCCCGTGTACAGGGCGGAGCAGTGCGCCTGTGCCGGGACCATCGCGGCAGGGATCGAGGGGATCCCTGACATTGCCCCCCCCCCTACGGGCAACCTCCGGATGCCACCCGATCTCTCCACCACGGGTGATCACAAAGAAACCTCCGGACAAGTCTAGGTGCATGGACATTATGGGCTGATTCCCACGAATTGTCCTCAAGGCCGTAGCCCTTCCACTTGATGAGAAAATTGGGTCTGGCCCCCCCTTCGTCGGCACTTCAGGATTGCCTCCACCTCGAATTCTTCTTCCTCTTCAACCGTTACGGCCTCCGGGGGCCTGGATTCCCGTTCCGGGAAGGCATCAGGGACCACCGGCTTCAACAGGGACACGTGGAAGACAGGGTGGATCTTGAGTGTCTCAGGGAGAACAAGTTCATAGGCCACTTCATTGACCATCCGTTTGATGCAAAAAGGTCCTCTAAATTTAGGTCCCAACTTTTTTGACGGGCAGAGCATCTTCAAGTTTGATGTAGCCAGCCAAACCTTCTCTCCGGGCCGCAACACCAGATCCCCTCTTCGCTTCCTATTAAAAGCCCTCTTGTAGTCTTCTTGGGCTTGACGGATGGCTTCCTGTAGTTTTTTATTGTTTGAAGTGAAAAAGGTTAGTGCATCCTGTGTCGCTGGAATAGGGCATTCCGGGACTAAATCCGGGAGGAAGACAGGATGAAACCCATAGTTGGAGAAGAACGGGGACTGCCCTGTTGCTGAATGGCAAGCGTTGTTGTACGCGAATTCCGCCAAAGGGAGAAGTGGCACCAGTCGTCCTGAGAGAATGATGTGTAGCATCGCAGATATTGCTCTAGGGTCTGATTGGTCCTTTCGGTCTGACCATTGGTCTGAGGGTGAAATGCCGAAGAAAGGGATAGCTTGATATCCAGGGCTTTGCACAATGCCCTCCAAAATCTCGAGGTAAACTGCACCCCTCGGTCCGAGACAATGTCTTCGGGAACCCCATGCAGTCTAACGACCTCTCGAATAAAAACTTGCGCCGTCTCGGCTGCTGATGGAGTCTTCCGTAAAGGAATGAAATGGGCCATCTTGGATAAGCGGTCCACGACCACGAGAATTGCTGTGTGGTCCAGTGAAGGTGGAAGCTCGACTATAAAGTCCATAGAGATTTTCTGCCAGGGCCGTTCAGGGATGGGTAATGGACGTAGCAGGCCCCACGCCTTATTTCTTGAAGGCTTGTTCCGCTGGCAGATGGCACAGGAGCCCACGTAACTTTTACAATCCTTGGCCATGTCCGGCCACCAGAAGGAACGTCGGAGAAGTTCCAGGGTCTTGACCGGGCCAAAATGTCCTGCCATCGGGTGGTCATGGCAATGTCCCAGACTAAGGTTCGGGCATCCTCCGGCACCACAATCCGGTCCTCCCTCCATAGGAGTCCCCCTTGTTCTGGAGGGGCGCCCCATCGGAGGTAGACATCGCTGTGGACGCTCTCAGGATCTCGGAGCGAAGGTTCGTCTGGAGGGCCAAGAAGTTTCCCGCAGGCAGAATAGTGTCAGGTACTGGGATCTCCTTGGCGTCCTCGTACATACGTGACAACGCGTCTGGCTTCGTGTTTTTTGAACCCGGCCTGTATGTGATGTGGAACTGGAACCTCGAGAAAAACAATGCCCATCTTGCTTGTCGTGCGCGCAGACGTTTGGCCGTCCTCAGATATTCCAGGTTCTTGTGGTCCGTGAATATCAGGATGGGATGTGAGGCACCTTCCAGGAGGTACCTCCATTCTTCTAATGCGGTCTTGATAGCCAGTAGTTCTCGATCCCCAATGTCGTAGTTCCTCTCCGCAGGGGTAAGTTTCCGTGAGAAGAATGCTACTGGGTGAAGTAATTCCTTGGCTCCCTTTCGCTGGGAAAGGATGGAGCCAACCGCATTTTCTGACGCATCTACATCTAAGATGTAGGGCAGGGAGGCGCCGGGATGACCCAGAATGGGTGCCGAGGTAAATAACTTCTTTAGTGCTTCAAAAGCTTCCTGTGCCTCTGGCGTCCATCTGAATCGCGTCCCAAGCTTGGTTAACTGAGTGATGGGGGAGACCAGACCCGAGAAGTTCTTGATGAACTTCCGGTAGAAGTTTGCGAACCCGATAAAACGTTGGACGCTTTTCCTGTCCGTGGGTTCAGGCCAATCTAGGATCGCAGAGACCTTCTGAGGGTCCATTGCGACCCCCGTGGTGGAGATAATCAGACCCAGAAATGTAACGCTAGCCTGTTCAAAGCAACATTTCTGCTTTAGCGTACAACCCGTGCTGCCGCAACCGCCCCAACACCTTTGTTACATGTACCCTGTGCTCCCCAGGGAGGAATGAGAAAATCAAAATGTCGTCTAAGTAGACGATGACAAAGATGTCCAGGAAGTCCCTAAAGATGTCGTTTACAAAGTGCTGGAAGGTGGCCGCGCATTGCACAACCCGAAAGGCATGACCAGGTATTCGAAATGGCCAAAACGGGTGCGGGAAGGCCGTTTTCCACTCATCCCCCTCCCTTATGCGAACCAAGTTTGTAGGCTCCCCTTAAGTCCAGCTTGGTAAATACTACTGCAGCTTTTAAGCTCTGGAATAATTCTGGTACCAGTGGTAAGTGGGTAACGATTTTTAATTGTGACCCTATTCAGCTCCGATAGTCAATACATGGCCTCAAAGTCTTGTCCTTCTTTTCTACAAAGAAGATCCCTGCACCTGCTGGGGAAGTGGAGGGGTGGATGAATCCCTTCCGGAGGCTCTCCTCAATATAATCTTCAGGGCCCCTAATTCTAGCTCAGAAAGGGGAAAAATTTGCCCAAAGGGAATTTCAGAACCGGGTAACAGATCAATAGGACAGTCATAAGGGGGGTGGGGGGGTAGAGTATCTGCTCCCCGTTCACTGAACACACATCAAGAAACTTATGATAGGCTGCAGGAATCACTTGTTTTAGGCTGGCATCCCCTTCTGAGCACAGGAGGACCTGGGGGACCTCCGGGCCCGAAGTTCGGCACAGTTTCCCGACAGTATGGGGAAGGGAACGAGACAACCCCAGTTTTCCCAGTCAATGTGGGGGTTATGGGCCCGCAACCATCGGAGCCCCAGAATGACTGGGAAAAGGGGTGATGCAATAGCAATCCAGGCGGAGGAGTTCCCGGTGCTGACCGGCAATGGAAGTCACAATGGAAGGGGGTCTCCTGGTTAACCACCCCTGACTTTATCCAGGACCCATCAGCCAAAAAGATGTGAAACCCCTTCTCCTTTGGACGGAGGGGGATACCCTGCTGTGAGCAAAATTGATATCCACAAAACAGCTGCATGCCCCCGAATCAACTATGGCCGTCACCTCCACGGTCCTTTCTGAAAGCTGAAAGGAGAGGGGGACAACTAAGTATTGGGACGGATTCATATTGCCAATAGATAAAGAAGATGAGGTGAACTTACTCAGTTTCTGCGGGCAGGAACGTACCATGTGACCGGCTTCACCGCAGTAGAGACACAGATTCTGGGAGCGTCTGCGCTGGCGTTCCTCTGGCGGTAGTTTAGGCCGTGCCAGGCCTAGCTGCACTGGGGTTCGGGAGCATCTTCAGACGGCAGGTTCTGGATGTTTGGCCTAGTATGTTGACTGGATCCTTGGACTGACCCCCAGGTATTCCGCGACCCTGACCAGACCTCTCCAATCTGCGCTCCCGTAGCCTACGGTCAATTTTAATGGTGAGTGCAATCAAAGTCCTCTAATGTCTCGGGCACCTCTACCGGGCGAGCTCGTCTTTCAGAGCCTCAGATAGGCCCATACGGAACTGGTGCACAAGTGTGCGAACTCGTTAGCGAGTGTCTCCCATCCAGCGCCTAAAGTCAGAGGCGTATTCCTCAGCCGCTCGCCGACCTTGTCGGAGTGCGTATAATGTGGCCTCGGCAAGGCCGCCCGTTGTGGGGTCATCGTATAAGATGGGCCATAGCGTTAAAGAAGTTGTCAACCGTAACCAGATGGGGATCATTATTTCCCCTTAGTCGGTGGGCCCAGTCTTGGGGTTCACCCTGCAACAGGGAGATAACAAACCCCACTTTCACCGATTCTGTCAAAAAGGTCCGTGGTTGCAGTTCAAAGTAAAGCAGACAGGAGTTACGGAATGACCGAAAGCGTGTGCGATCCCCGTGGAAGCGCTCGGGTAAGGGTACTCGGGGTTCCGCCATAGGGAGTGATGCGGAAGGCCCAGGAGCCGGCTCGTGGGCTGCTGCGACCGGAGGTGCAGGAGCCGGGGCCTGTGAAACAGGAGCAGATATGGTGCAGGCCTGAAACCGATTCTCAATCTGCAAACATCTGTCCTGCAACGAGTTTACTGCTTGCGTCAGGGTAGCCAGGTGCCTGCAAACCTCCTCCATCGGGGAGGGTCCTCCTCGAGGCTCAGTCAGGGCCTTCTGGTACTGTGAGGGACCGCCGAGCGGCACCCCTAGCACTCCACTGGTCAGGCGTGCCCAGAGCGCGGAGTCTAAGCCCCAGGGTACTTGTTCACCAGGGCCCCTGATGGTGGGGATGGACTTGTAGTACCCCAAGACCAGGTCGCCACTACTGAGCACACCTGTCAGTGGTAGGGGTGTTCGCCAGGGCTCCAACCAGGGAGAGCCAGATGTGAGGAGGTCGGGTGACCCCGATGGGATGGATGGATGGCTGAGCAAGTGCGAAGTCAGACAGGCCGAGTTGGTAACGTAGAGGACGGTAAGGTACAAGGGAGCAGGCAGAGAATCGTCACACGCCAGGTCAGCAACAGGAGGTCAGATCTAATGAGGGGCATCCAGGGAGAGAGGTCAGGCAAAGCAAGGGTCTGGGCAGGAGAAATCAGCAGGTCAAGAACAATCCGGGTCAATAAACTTACAAGGCACAGGTACAGAATCACAGGAAGCAGGTAAGACCAGAAGGCAACGAAATGACAGCTCAGGGACATTTAAATATCCCGCCCTGCGCTGCCATTGGTGCCCAGCGGGCGGCCGCGGCTTCTACTGCGCATGCGCGAACTCGAACGCCGCGGCCGGCCCGGACCTAGTGCCCGTGTACAGGGCGGAGCAGTGCGCCTGCGCCGGGACCATCGCGGCAGGGATCGAGGGGATCCCTGACACTTGTGTGTACACAGTGGATTTCCCCAGTTTATGTGTCTGCTGTATTTAGCAGGTCTTATTGTGCATCAGTCAAATCTGCTAACCGTATTGTCACTTCCTCAGCTGTTTGTTAGCTTTTAGTTACTACTAGTCATCATAGGAGGCATGTTTACCAAATGAACTTGGCATACATTAATGACTTGTAGGGTAATTGGCTAACTGAAGTCCTATGACCCTACCCTGTAATGATTTATTGAATCCGGGTGTTCGACCCTAGCACCCCGGCCTTTGGTGAACTGCTTTGGATCCTAACCGCCTCTAAATACCCCTATATGTTGAGCTGGGTACACTCTAGAAGTTTTTCTTTCATTCAAACCAGTGGACTAAATGAAAAAAAAAAACCTGTCAGATCTCCATTCCAACAGAAACAATGTTGGTGCAGCGATCTCCCCCACTGTGCTATTGTATTCTTATAGGAAGAACTCCCCCCTCACTATAACACACTGATCAGTGCTCACTGCCATTGGTTGCAAGCATTGATCAAATGCGGTTCGAATGCTGGTTTTCTTTCATACCCATTCGACAGAAGCCGGTTGTGAGACGGGCGCCTATAGGACAGAGAGTTGTACACACACACCAAAAGTTGACTGTTTCCTATCAAACCAATTTCGGACAATTTTGGGCCCCTGTGTACAAGGCTTTAGCCTATGATTCCATACACGCATAACATTTAGAGGCAAGAGCATTTAGAGACAGAAAAAAAACAAACATAACTTACGTGTTCAGAAGAGGAGCATTTGGGCAAAAAAAAAAGCCAAATGCGCATAAATGTGCATAAATATGCATTTGCATGTTAATGCATTCTAATGGCCAGAATAAATTAATATTCTGAGCAATAGAATGCATTAGCACCAAACGTGCATAAATGCCAACACAAATTGTGTATTTAGGCATGTTTTTAAGGTGCGTTTTGTTTCCCTGTCCCCTCAAGCAAAGGCTTCCAGGAGAGGAAAAAAAAGCCTTATTTGCATGAGGCATTTCATGTACACACATTATAACAAATTTTGAAATAATAGCACCCTCTACCTAATAAACATGTCATGTTTTAGATTGGTTCACAGAGTGAAAAAACTAACATTTTCAAATCAGTGTCAAAACATTACCATCAGCCCATTAATTTTTCTTGACAGACAAACTGGTATACAGACACACATTTAAAAATAACTAATAGAACACATAAAATGCTGTGTAAATATAAACTGAAATGTTTCTGAAAAACTACTTGATTAGTGACACTAACAAGCCTGTCTGTGTTTCTAGTGTACTGTTACATGTGGGCATGGGCTGAGGTACCGTGTGGTTCTCTGCATCGATCACAGGGGAATACACACAGGAGGATGCAGTCCTAAAACAAAACCTCACATCAAGGAAGAATGTACGGTGCACATACCTTGCTACAAGATCAAAGGTAAGCTGAAAATTTGCACTATGGTTTGTAAGTAAATGTGAAACTTAAGTAAAATGTTGTGTTATTTTAAAAAAAAGCTTATATTTTCATAAGTAGAAAAAAAAGCACATGTAAGAGAAATGAATGGTAAGTTAAAATTGTGCTTCTTTAATTATATCATCAGTGTTGCCTTTTCTTATTTACATTAAAAGTGTATTTTTTTCAGTTCTGATATTAACTTAGTTATTTTTTAAAATTTTAGCTAACATTTAATTTTTTAGATAATTACTAATAACTAAGCTTTAGTTAGAACCTTGCTTTTGGAACCCCATGCCGCCTACAGGACTGGAAACCAACCTTTTCATCTTCTAGTTCTTCTTTTCTCTGGTCTCTAACGTCACTGTTATTGAGTAAATTAACCATACATGCATCCTGTACTCTGAGTTCCAGCTTGCTCTTCTCCTGGTAATGAAAGAGAGGGTAGACAATAATCCAGAATCAAATAAGAAATTGGTGTTTTTAAAAGGGGTATAATGGCATCATGTGGCAATATCTTCCAGTACAAAAAGAGAGCGTGGTAGGGACCCACATCATGTCGAGTACTCATAAATTAGCCAATCTGTAAGTTTTATACTGGTACATTTTTTTGTTTCACAAAGTTTTTATTGAAAGTTAACAGTGTCCTCACAATATAAAAAACTCATAGGGGGAGATTTACTAAAACTGGAGCACTCAGAATTTGGTGCAGCTGTGCATGGTAGTCAGTCAGTTTCTAACTTCAGCTTGTTCAATTACACTTTGACAATAAAACCTAAAAGCTGACTGTATGACAGGATGACAGACGCCACAGGATGACAGACGCCACACACCACTACAGGTTAAAAGAAATATGAACAGCCTCAGCCTTGACCTTCTCCTGAGCCTTGTCTCTGATGCATTTCACCCTGCCCATTGGAGCTTAATTATAGAGTAAACCCAGAGGAGCTCAAGGCTGAGCAGCCCAGTAACATACGTAAACACTTGGCTTATCCTATTAGTTAGGTTTATTAGGCTGAGACCCTGGTTGGTACCCAGAATCAGGGCAACTGTGTTGTCAAATTAAAATAGGATAACATAGTTGGGTGCTATAATTCTTGTGACCTGGTAAATTACATAGAGAGTAATCATGAGGTGTAGGCCATATTGAAAGAAAAGCATGTTTGACAATGCAGTAGGCTTCAAGTTACAGGTGTAGTCTAGACAGAGAACAGGAAAGAACTAGATGCAACCTGGAGAAGCATTGTGGAAATATCAAAGTAAAGGGATGGGGAAGAATGTCAGGGAATGAATCTTTGTCAGCAAGCCACAGAGCAAGTGAGTCATATAGCTTGTCCACTTCATAAGGACAGAGCGGACCTATCAAAGTCTTTAGGGAGATAATGTTCTATACATGGGAAGCATATCTGCTCAAATTTATGGTTTGTATCGTTAAGTATTGCAGCCATCTTTTTCATGGAACAAGTACCATGTCATCTTATGCTTCATGTGATTGCTGGGGTTGAGGACCACCATGCCTTTTGCATGGGTTTGTTTTCCAGCTGTAAATTGAAATGTCAGGAGGTGGAATTGCATGTTTGTGCACTCGGATGGCTTTACGTTCAGCAGTACTTTCTTACATGAGTTCAGTAGGACCTTGCCCAATATTGTATATGTTAACTGGTTTACATTGACCCAAAATCTCTTGATCTTGGGGCATTCCCACGTATATGTAAGACGATGGCTGGCAACTGGCATCCCTAAAAGCATTTGTCAGAGATTGGGGGAATGAATTTTGGTAAATGCTGTGGAACCCTACACCTTCCCATTTGCAGCGTAAAGTTGGATTCTATGACCAATGCATTGGCAGGGCAATGTGCATTAGCCTGCCATATGTGTTTCCAATCCTCCTTCTGTATGCCACTCCCCAAGTCTTTCCCTATTTTGCCACATAAGGATGTTGGTGTAGTGCTTGGTCTTTTAATTGCAGGTTACATCTTTATCAGTTGCCAGTTATTTGTGAAACAGTTAGATGTTATGAACGTATGGTGCATACGTTAACATTTTAAAAAAATTTGTTTTTTATTTTTATTTTAATTAAGCTTTGAATTTTCAGTTGTTTGTGGTGCCCAATACAGGCTTTTCAGTTTGATGGAGGTTAAGATCTGCTAATTGAACATCTCAAATAATATACTTTTGTGACTCTATTTATACTAATGCAGGTCTCCAGACACTCCAGACCAGCTGAACCACTGCGTTAAGACCCAGTGGAGTTTATTTTTGCCCCCATATATTATGTAACACAACAGGAAGATTGTTATTTTCAGTGATTTTTTTCATTGTTTATAATGTTAAAGTGGTTGCATCTGAGAATAGATGGAACATATTTTAAAATCTAAGCATAATGGTTTAAATACGTAGAAGGAGCGGACCAAAACTACAATATACATTTATTAACAGATAACTGATACCATTGGATAGAGAACTCCTTGTAGTAAATAAACACTGATTGAGTCTTTAAACTATAAACAGCATTTTTCTAATTAGGAATGTGGTTAGGAAGGGCTTACAGGTATGCTCTCATGCTCTGCTACTTCAAATTAAATTATAAAAGTGTTCAAAAGCAATGCTTTATGTGAGCAACCTTCAAAATACCATATGTTTATCCCTGTTTATACACATAGATTAAAATAAAAGCTGTGTTATGTTATCAGTTTAAAATAAAATATTCTGGGTCCTAGAATTTTCCATATTATTTTTAAAAGGAGACTGTATGGTCTGCATATCTTTAGTGTTTTCCAAAAGAGGTTAAAGCAGAGTTCCGCTCACCCTGTCAAAAAATAAAAGTCAGCAGCTACAAAAACTGTAGCTGCTGACTTTTAAAAAACAGACACTTACCTGTCCCTTGGTCCCGTGGTGTGTCCCCCACAGCCCGTTTCACCAGCCGTCCTGTATTCCAGGAGGCCGGCATCTTCTTTGGGTGGAGCTCAGCTTCAATGAATTTGGCTGAGTTGGTTAACATACAATTAAAGGTACATAACAGATAAATCCTAAATATGCATATCAATTGCTAGTACAGTGGAAGAAGTCTTGATAGTTGACGTTTGCTATGAGTTACAGTCATGCATATACATGCATATACAGTATTTGATTTGTATGGTGCAGTGTTTTTCTCAGCTTGCATGATAACTTAAAAGAAAATTCCATGTACAGTATTTATGAGCACATTATGTAAATGCAACATTTTCTGAGGAAAACCCAGCACCCTGTTCAAGGACTTCCATTCTAAACTGAATTAACCTGTTTTAAGCTGCTTTTACATTCTCATTGATTTGTTTGAGGAGAAAAGCAGTTCTGATAGCAACAAAAGCCCAAGTACTCAGACCTTTGTTCTGAAAACTTTACTAATTAATAGGAAAATGTGCTCATCTGAATCATGGGAATTATAAATTATGGGAAATAGGCCTCATGTACATGGTCATGTTGTGAATGTAAAGTCTCCTAGTATAAAATCACTGAAACTTTTTGGGTCCCGATAAGCTGCTGGTGCTGTGTACAGTGTCCAATACAAGTAAATAAAACATAAAGTGTAGCGCCAAACATATAATAATGAAACTGAAATGTATCATGACAAATATAATGTGATAAACAATGTCCATCCACCACCATAAAGTGCTCTTGCTTGCAGCAAAACAATTCAAGATTGCTGTCACCGTCTGCCAGTGAATTGAAGACTCACCCGAAATTATGGCTGCCACTACAACAGCATGTCAGCTTACATAAACAGCCTCTGCTGACCTGAAATTGCATAGCAGCATGAAGTCAGCACTGTAAACTCCTCCCCGATGTGTTTCATCCAGTGGGACATTACCAAGGGGTATTGCGGTGTTGACGCCTCACATATTTATACAGTATTGCGTGTCTACCCTCTCACCGCAAATCAATCAAAGACCAGAACCAGAAGGACAGATCTTGGAAAAATTGGAAACGCTGATGCCAACATCTTAGAATGGGTCATTGATGGATTCTCAACCAGAACTGGAAGAACAGAGCCTCCATCTTGGAAAAACCAGAAATGGTGATGCCGCCATCTTAGGATGGGTCATTTGTAGATTCCCAACCCATAGCATCAGACTTCAAAACAGAGAAGCCCAGTGATTGGCTGTACTGGCCATACTAGTGTAAATGTTGATGGCTTATGGATCTGCATTTACCTGGACATGTACTCACAGTGTATTTACCAAGATGTGATATTTTAATGCTTGGGGAAATCTGCCATGCATGAATGCATGAATAAATTCTGATCCACAAGCCATCAGTGTTCACACAAATATGGCTGTGTAGAGCCATTCACTTATAATAGCAGATGAATGCAGAACCTTGAGCACTGTAAATTTTACACTAGAGGCCTCTAGGCATCTGCGTGCATGAAGCTTTAGTAGACGGTATTTACAGGCATATACAATGTCTTAAAACCACAATAATATTTTTCAGATCTTTAAAGCCTGATTGAAATTTTGGTTTAAATTAGCTAAATACATTCCAGATGCATCAAAATAAAAGGTGCACAAAGTCTTTGTTTACTTTAAAGAACAGTTACAGCCTGTGTAGAAAAGTTAGCCCTTTGCCAGTTTCCTGTAGAGAAAGGCCCTTGCTCTCTATGAGGAAGCAGTGGTCTCTCTGCAGAGGTCTGCTGAAGCAGTCCTATAGCTCTGCAATTAGAAAAGCACTTGTTCCCTGCTGAGAGCCATAGGTCTGACTCTGTGAAGTTCCTCTGCAGATAGATTATTGCTTTTCCACAAAGAGCAAGGGTCCTCAGCAGCGTGCTGGCAAGGGACTGGCTTTGCAGTTCAAACTTTGGCTGCTTTTTTAAGAAAACAAACTCTGAGATTTTGCAGGTCATTTGTTTTGATGCAGCTGGATTGTATTTAGCTGATTAAACTGAAAATTTGAATGCGCTTTAATGAATTCTATCTGTTGTACCTTAGCAAGATATAGCAAGATATCATCTTATCAGTTACTGAGATTAATTATGGTCTATTAATAATGACTATAAATATAAATTAAATATTTGAAAAGTATTACACAACTGAATAAAGCAAGCAAAGTGGCAGCTGTTACTAGCTTAAAAACAATTGTCAAAAACAGTTAGTAAAAAATAAAGCAGGTACGTATTGTGGGTTGCCTGATCTTAAGATTTTAGCCACAATACCTTAAACACCGAGATGAGTGAGACTAGAGGTCAGACTCTGACAGATCTTAGATCAAGTATGACTGTCTCTCTTCTCTGTTTTTTGTAATCACCTTCTCTAAAAAATGTGAATTGACAACATTTCCAAATACTTTTCAACTTAGCAGACCCCATTCATGGCCAGCGTGGGCGCAGCTTATTACCCTATCACTACTCAAGTCATGACAAGGAGAACAATAAAACCCATATCCATATGTGAGGAAATGGTAGAAACAACATTTTGCCATAACATTGGATCAAGATCAGTCACCCTTGTTAGCTAATGAATTCCTTGCATGAACATTACTACCTTGAGAGGAAAAACCTGAAGAATATTGCCGTTTAATTGGAAGAAAAAAATGAATTGAAGAGTAATACTGTGTGTTTGACATTCTGTGTCCTGTTTTTCATCAGTGATAACCAAACAAAATATGTTCCTCATTCTTCAAGTGCAGTGCAGTCGATGAGCTGATAAGATGGGTTTTGGATCATATTGGAGCACCTCTCTGCAAAACATGTGCAGGCCGTCATTTTGTTTGAAAGGCACAGCTCTGCTTCCCTTCTCCAATGTTTAAAGCATCATTGTGATTATCTTCACAGACACCATTTTGTGTCTTCTATTACATCTGTAAAGTGTCTTCAGAAATTGTTGGCCTACTTATTTTATAGGTTTTCTCTTGTATCTCAATATGGCTGTTCCTGGCTTCTGAACAGCTTATTATATCTTTAACATATGTTTGTGAGGACAGGAGATTCCTTCTATTAAACTGGATGTATTGCTTAAAGCAGAAGAAATTATTTTACCTTTTCAACACCTCAGTTTGCTGTAATGCGATAGCTGTGTGCCATCATTACTGTGTTACTGCTGCACTGCGTATTATAAGTTACTTTTTTTCTATTTTAGTTTTCATCATTTGAGCTAATAACAAGTGTTTTTATAAAGATATCACATCTTGTTATAGTAAGTCAATCTGGTTGCGATTAGTATATATGTGTGCTTCTTTATAGAGCCTTTTATGCAGCAATCATCGGTGATTATTGCAAGTCAGCATAAAGTATTCTGCAATTTCCGACTACCTCTATAACTACCATCATGTCAAAATTGTGGCTGCAAAACAATGTACTCACAGTTGGGGTTTCTCAGGAAATAGAACTTGGAACCTATAATCTCAGTGTCTAAGTCATTCCAGTTCACTGGTTTGGATGACAACCTTTGCTTGTCAAATTGAGAAGCATCATGGGAAAAGGCAGCTCAGTACAAGAGAGCCAAAGTCTAACTATAACTAAAAGAGGCTAAATGTGGAAAACTGACTTTTCTTTTTTTTATGGGTTTTCTGTTTTGGATGAGCGTTTATATTCAGTTAATGGTATTTCTTCCTAATAATAGATGATTTTGATGAAATACCAGTGATAAAAGCAATGTTTTCACCACGTGTGCTTTTTATTTTTTATCATGTGCAGAAAAACTACCAGTAGAGGCCAAGTTACCATGGTATAAACAAGCACAGGAATTAGAAGAGACAGCAGCTGTATCTGAAGAACCTTCGTAAGTATCCTATTTGTCTAATGCCATACAGTTGTAATTGTTTTGAAATCCATTTTAAAGTGTTAGCTGTTATTTACTTTACCAGTCTCCAGTATGGAAAATAGTTAGAACATCTTTCAGGTTTGCATTGCTGCCTGTGCCCCTTTAAGGAGATCTCTCCTCACCACCTGGTCTGGTAATAATTTTATCATAGAGATAGTAAATGAGAAGAAATCTCCCAAACAAACACACGGCAATAAAAACCAACAACGGTTCTAACTTTCCCCCTTTCCCCAAAGACAAAATAAAGTTGGGAATTTAGCTGTAATTTATTGTGTAAAATATACTAGAGTTCTAGAAATTCTACCTGGTTCTCATTGCTCAGATATCACATTTATTTACACTAGAGTCAGACTTGTTGTTGTACAGTGATCCACAGACATGGGAGAGCTTTGTTCCTCCTAATTTAAAACCTTAGAAAGTTTTTAATTCAGAGAGGTACCATATTCTGCAATTTTTCACTCAAGGTGGACATATACTTCTGTAGCCTTCAAACAGTGCTGGAAAAGTCAGTTGTAACTTGATGTAGGCACTTTATAGCTGCTGTTTTGCCTAGGACCATATTGTTATCCATTTCACAGTACTGAATAAATGCAAGACGGCCACTTTATGCAAGCAATAATGGGCAGCTCTTCCTGTTCCTAGACCCAATCCCTAAAGGTACCATCAATATAATCCAGAAGTAAAAGTTGGCAGGAAAAGCCTCTGATGATATAAAGCATCAAATAGGCTCCTGGGAGGATAGAAATACTGAGTGTGCCTAGACACTGTGACATATACAGAAGTTCTCGGCTGCTTTTAAACAGGAATTATATTTAGAAGGTACAATTTTTACAAATTGCTTTACCCAGTTACTGTGTTAATGAATCTCCTTTGGACAGCCACATTTTTTTAATCGAAAAAGATTGTAAATATATGGTTTCTAGATTTTAAATATAGGTCCTTTTTAATGCTACTTTGGATTTGTAGATAAATAATGTTTTTCCTGTTTTCAAATCCACAGTATCCTGGCAACGTTGAACCTGCAATTTAGCAAGCAGGCACTTTTCTATCCTTCCTGTTATAAAAAAAGTTTGCTAAGCTATGGGATGTATGTGAATGTACATGGGCAGCAATGAACCTTGTGGTTTCCTTCATATTTTTGTAGTTTAATAAAATACTTTTTGCCATTCTCCCATGCGGTAAAATTACAATGGCTCTGTCACACTTTAATAAGAGTGCACCTTAGTATAACTTTCTTATTTAGCAGGCCCCTTCCATCATGTAATGTACAGATTAAAAAAAAAAAAACTACTGAAAAAGAGAAGCGTGAATTTGATTTGTGAGGAAATATAAAGTGGGTTCTTTTGCAGGTAATTATTCAGGTAGAGGTTTTGGAAAGTCACTAAAAGGAAATGATGCTAGAGTAGTCAGCTCTGAAACCACAGTGTTTCTGGAAGGAAACTAGAAATGCTATTATTAAAATGTAGCTTAGGACTATTTCCCTTTGGAGCGTGATTAATGGGCGCAATTTACAGCTTTGATCTGCACAGTTCCTTGCTCTGTCTATGCAGTAGCTTACACAGTTGAAATTGAAATCTCGATGTAGTCAAATAAATTTTCCTTTCAGAGGAGTAGAATTGCTGTGTTGGGCTATTTAATATACACTGTATTATATTGCAAACAAAGCACATGTGGGGAGCTACTGCAATGCTCAGGTCTGTTTTACTATATGATGCACATTAGCAGGCAGAGTGGATATGATGCTGGGCTTTACATGCTCCATTTTATAGCTACACCGAACAATGAAACTAGTGTCTTTTATTATGCTTTAATTCGAGTAACCATGCTTGGCCAGCTTGGAAACAATTTACAGTCAGGTGTATGAATACACACATAAAACCCCATGTGCGTTATATAATGGAATTAGAGGTAGGTAGAATTGTGTACAGTAGCTGTGACTCACATGTATCAGATAGCACAACTTTTATAGGGTTCTAACAGTATTTTTTTTTTCTTTTACCCTAAAATGTATCTGAAGCCAAAACATATTATTTTAGTTTTGCATACAGTGTTGAAGGGTTAAAACTCCTGTCTGTGTCCTTACTGGGAGGATTCACCATTTGTATTTGTTCTGGTGACCATTAACTCTGGGATATCTGAGTTATCAACAAAACTGTAATTGTGGAGAACTTTTTCAACAGAGACACTAGTTCTCTCTAAGGAGATTTCCCTCACTATGGAGAGGTTCTCCCTAACATAGTGTTGTATCTATAGGGTAGGAAGTAAAGAAAAATCTCCCCAATAGGACACAGATGGCAAGAAACCTAACACAGTCAACCACTTTGTGCTCTAGTAAAAAAAAAAAAAAGGTTTTGGCTTTAGATTCACTCTATCTATTAATAGAACAATATCACACATAACATACTGCTTTATTAAAAGAGTTGATTTTATGGTAGATACATGTAGCTTTGGTTTTTGGTTAAAACATACTGTAAATCTAGCTTATGTCATGTTGTTTCCAAACATTACAAAAGCATCAGGACTAGCAGGGTACATTAAGTGAAGGTGACCCAGAACAAGCATGTAGCTAGTGATGTCAGATATAGACAACCAATAGAGCTCAGCTTAAATACATGTTTAGTTCCTGTTTCCTTTGCACATCAGAGTCTCACATTTTGTTGTTATCATCATATCTGGCACAGAGCCTGGTCAGTCTGCTCTACCTGCCCCTCTATTCCAGCAATATAACATGTTCTGAAGCCATAAAATGTATTTAAAGTGATTCATTTCTCACCTGAATAGTAAATAACAGAAACAATTAGTTGTTGTGTTTTGGTGATTAGAAGCTCTGAACATCCTGGGGAGTCAAGTTAAGGCAACATGGCCATAATCAATGCGATATTGTCTAAGATTGCTTATCCATTACTATTCATTACAAACAAAAGAAAACTTGAAGCTTTCAGAAATGTGTTTCCTATCTTCCCACTTCCGCTTGCCACATCGTATCTAAAGCTTAAAATGTATATCAAGCCAAAACATTTTTGTAGTTTTGGATAAGGTGGAGAAGGTACAGAATGTGAAGGGAAATCCTAATTTTTAGTTTTCATAGCAACAAGAGGTAAGGGTAAATGTTTCAATGAAGAAACCTTTTCTTGTGACAACTGTCTAAGAAAGGATAGCCAATAACTTTTGAGAGATCTCTTTAATTTCTGCATTGTTTCTGGAAAGTGTAGTGTAGAGATATCACTGAAGTGACACAGACTGTATAAAACCAGAAAGGGATCATGACCATTACTTACTTTATTCTCAAAGGAAAATAAAAGTTTTCACTGTGCATAAACACTTTTAAGAAAAACTCTAGACCTGTTTTATTTTTTAGAGGACATAGCTTCTGTGAGATTTTATGTTGCTTCTTTCCCAAAATTGGAGATGCATGTCCTCATGGTAAAACAGGAAATGAAAGCAAATCTCCCCAAAGTAAGGACAATTCCTACCTTGATATTTGTGACCAGGCCACCATTTAGAGATTTCTTTCTCCTCCTATTAACTTGGTTACTTCTAGCAGTGGGATTTCTCCTTACTTTCTATCCTGTCATCAAAAGTACAGAAAGTAAGTAAAAAAAAGTTTATGCGGGCAGTATTGAGAACCTGGCTTTCTATTCTATTCAAAAACCGAAAAAAAAATTTTGTTAGGCTCTGCTTTAGGTTTGGATAATCACTGATTTAAACAAAAGCATCCATTTTAAGAAAATCTTGGAAAAAGAATGGTTTCATTTGATTAGACATGTTTGTAGAGTAGCAATGAAATACATAAAATTACAACCATTTATGGTAGTATTTACGGACATTTACGTAGGTGTACTGGCAAAATCATGTGAGGAAGCTTCTACTGCCAGCTATAAAATAGTTTTCCCTGTGTTTTACATTGATGAAGCTTTGTTCAGAAACCAATGTATTAATCAACAAGGTAATCAAAGCATTTAGTTGGCAAAGATTGAACTTTATAAAATACTGGTTTATTCTACTTCAAATAGGACTAAATTGTTTGTAATAACCAGAAAGCTTTTTGTGTTATGGAATAGCCAGACTAAATCAAAGCAGGTATTTAGTGCCTCACTAAGCGGGAGCTATTGGGACTAGTAAACTATACATGGTAAAATAATACACTCCTGAGCTCTGTCTTATTCCAGTCATTTATATACTATTCTACCATATACATAGATCTGTATATTTATTACTAGTCTCATGTGCAAACACTTCATTAAATTTAAAGGACGTTAGGCAGTCAGTATTGGATAGTGTTCAGACATAGAAGAAGAACTCCATCTGTAAAAAAAAAAAACCCTAATTTGTATTATTATAGTTAAATGTTGAGCAAATTTCTCATTTTACTTGTGTGTCAAATATAATAATATCACTATAGGTAATTAACCCCTTAAGGACCAGAAGTGTATTAGATAGTAAATGTTCTGTTCTCATGGACATGCATGTCAGCCCAGATATTCTAGAAAAATTGCACAAAATGTCCAAACAGACCATTAATGTCATACACTATAATAAAACATGCGGAAGCAAGGTAGACATATCTGTCCAAAATGTAATCTGTTGCATTTCTCCATTTTCCCAAATGGTAAATGTATTCTTCTGACCCAGAATGAAAAGGCTATATAATCCTTGTGTTCCATTTGCTAGGCTCATATGTGCAGGAACATTATATTTTATTTAGCGTTTTTTTTTAAAGAAGTGGATCTCGCTTTAAAGAATAATAGAACAGGAGATGATGGTTTTGAATGGTTGTTATGACAGCTCCAAAACTAATGAAAGCTAAATTGTGTTTGCTTTGGTTTTCTGCATCTGACTGCTGCATAAATTGTTTTGAAATATGTCCCATACTGTTTTTAAAGGTGTACCTCTGTTATTTGTTTAGTAAGTTCTTCACATGCTTAAAGGTTTTGGTTTCTGCTTTACAGTTTTATCCCGGAACCATGGTCCCCATGTAGTGTCAGCTGTGGAGCTGGTATCCAACAACGAACAATAAAGTGCCAGGTGCTTTTGTCATTTGCACAAACAGTTGCTGATCTTCCACTTGATGAGTGTGAAGGACCAAAGCCTGTCAATCAAAGAACCTGCTACAGTGGACCCTGCAATGGAGAAGCTGTAGAGTACAACCCGGATGAGGAAGAGGTGGAATATGGAACAATAAAAGACATTGATGAACTCAATGACTGGGAATATGAGGGCTTCTCTGCGTGCTCAGAGTCCTGTGGAGGAGGTAAGTTACTTACACTATAAAATAAGCTGACTAAACTCATGATTTGGAAAATGTAATCATGAAAAAGGCAAGTAGTTAATTATTCAGAAGGTTAATAGTATGAATATAGTTTACAGTGTACCTTTCCAAAAAATGGTGACACAACTTTTCACTTTCATGTGTATTGTTTCTTCAGTGTCTGATTGTACCCCAGCTTTTGTCTTATCTCTGACTGCCTCCTGCCTAATCCCTGTTTAGGCTTTACCTTGCCCCAATGTGTTTGCCTACAGTTTTCCTTGCATCTATCCTAAGAATTTTCCAGCTCTATACTGTTTGCTTAAATAAACATACAATACTTGTCTTTGAGGTAGGCCATTATTGGCTACTACTCAATCATCAAAAGTAAGTGATTTTTTTATTAGACTAGGACCATCTTCCTATAGTAATCTTCCATAAGGATTTTCTATAATTTAGCAATTTAGCAGAATGTTATTTTCCCAGAAGGGACATCAGTGTCTGTAAAAAGAGCTGTTATCAAACCCTCTGAAAAATCCATTTTTTTATAGGTCTTTGAAGTCATGCTCTTGGAAGTGTAATCATTTTTTATGTTGCTCTTTGCAAAGAACCCAGAATCTCTCAAAGAATGGTATTACCATTCCTCATTTGTAGACGGTATTCACATGTGCTAAAGTGTGAATATACTGGCCAAACCTTTGCACTTCTGTTAACAATTCAGAAAAAATACACTGCTTGCTTGGTTCTGGATGAGTGAGTTTTATATCCCCAAAGGATCTTCCCACTCTGAACAAAGGATTTGTGTTTTAACCAGCTACAGTAGCTAGCAGCCTCCTGCGGAAAGAGGTCTTCCCATTAGATTGCTTCTGCTCTCATGAAAATGTAAACATTGGTACCTATAAAAGTGTGCTAAAGCAGGTGACACTGCACTGTGAAAACATAAAAACAATAAACTGTATGACATGGAAAACTCTCATTCCTTATGGACAGCTGTACACCATAGGCAGAAGAAGCTGTAACTCCTTTTGACATGCTCCATTCTGTCTACAGTGCTACTGAACTGGAACAGGTCACTTTAAAGCTGATGTGGCTGTGGTTATTTTTCAGGCTGATAGTCCCAGAGGAATTAAAAGCAAATAGCGTTTGCAAGGGTAAGTTTTGCTATGTTAAGGAAACTCCACCCAAATAAGTTTTTTAAACTTGTAAGCATTTGAGGATTAGTAAACCTACATCAGAGGAATCTTCATTGAAATGCAAAAAAATTGGTCCAGCACACATAGACATATCACTAAAATGATTCTTAATTGACAGCAATTAGAGAACCTCTAGTTCAAGCAAAGTAATTCAAATAAAAAATGGTAAAGCCAATTACTTATGATGATCTTGGTTTTCAAGTCAGGCACAAAAGGTGTGGAGAAGTCAACAGTTACGTGATGCTGTGCACTTTTTCATGACCAACCTGTTCCTCCTGGTAGTTAATTTAATGTTTTATAATTTTAATGAGGTGAAAAAAGTCATCATACATGGGTAAATATGCTGTATAGCAGGGGTATTGAATTAAAATTTCAAGCAGGTCCGGTAACTAAAATCTTCTTCTGGACGAGGTCCGAAAATAAATGTCCCCGTTAGTATTCCTCGTTACATCAGGTTCCCCCTCCAGAGTAATTTATTACATTGGGAGCCACCATCAGACTTCCCCCATAAATCAGTTGCCACCATCAGAGTACCCCCCTATATCAGGCGTTCCCATTGGAGTGCCCCCTTAAGTAATGTGTTCCCACCAGAGTGCCCCCATACATCAGACATTTCCATCAGAGTGCCCACTTACATCAGGCATTCCCATCAGAGTGCCCTCTTACATTAGATACTCCCATCAGAGTGCCCCCTTACATCAGGTTTCTGCATCAGAAGGCTCCCTTACATTTGGTGTCTCCCATCAGTGTGCCTCTTTACATCAGTTGTCCCCATTAGAGTACCCTAATATATAAGGTTGCCTCATCACAGTGACACCTTACATAAGGTGTGCCCATCAGTGTGCCCCCTTACAGGTGTCACCATCAGAGTGTAACTTTCCATCATGTATCCCCATCACATCAGGTGCGTCCATCAGAATTCTCCTTTACATCAGTTTTCTCCATCAGAGTGCCCCTTTACATCAGGTATCCCCATCACATTGCCACCTTACATCAGGTATTGCCATCAGGGTGCCCCTTTACACTCTAAGTACTTTTTCCTCATATTTCCCCATCAGAGTGCTGCTTTACATCATATTCCCCATCAGAATGCCCCTTTCCATCACATGTGCCCATCAGAGTGCCCCTTTCCACAGTATGTGCCCATATGTGCCCCCTTAACCCCTTTGCGCCGGCCGCACATTTGCGTCCATGGAACTAAATACATATGTGCTGAGAGCGCGCGCCCCTGCGCGCTCCCAGAACACATGTGTAGTACTCACGGAAAGGCCCCGCTCCGCTCTTTCGAACGGGACCTTTCTCGATCATGTGACCACCGTGACGCGTCATCACGGCGGTCACATGATTCCTAAACCACGCCCCCACCGCCCCGCCTCCCAGCGTCAGAATCTCTTAAAGGGCCGGGAGGAGGCGGCGTCAAGGGGTTAACATAACATGCCCATCAGAGTGCCCCCTTAACATAAAAAATGCCCATCAGTGTGCCCCTTAACATAAAAATGTGTACATCAGAGTGCCCCTTAACATAAAATGTGCCATCAGAGTGCCCCTAATATCAGAGTGCCCCTAAATAAAATAAGCAGTATGCTGATGGACACATTTTATGCTAAGGGGCACTCTGATAAGCACATTTCTATTAAGGTAATTTTTTTTTTTACATTTCTGTATAATAAAACCTAAAATGAGCATAATCAAAGTTAGTCCTGGAGAAAAATTCAAACCTTATTAAAACAAAGAGACAAAGATGGGTTGATTTACTAACAGCAAATAGGCTGTTCACTTTGCAAGGAAATTTGCATTAGAGCTCAGTGAACTGAAATGACTGACTTGGGTATTCTTTGCAAAGAGAAACTTAATTAAAGGCTAAGTTTACCTTTAAGTGAAAAATAATAAAGTCACATATTTTGCATGTAAAAAAAAAAAATCTGCATTAGTTATTTTTTACGCAGGAGCCTGCAAAGTATTGCACCTGCGATAATACTGTACCCTCTCACTTATATGTTATAAAATATAACAATAAATGGGACTTGTAATTTATTCATTTACAGATTCCTGTGATTATCAGTGCAGCCCCATCAGTGCCTATCAATGCCAGATATCAGTGCCAAATATCAGTGTCCATCAATGCCACATATCAGTACCCATCAGAGCTGCCTTTCACTGCCCATTAGTGATGCCTGTCAATGCCCATCAGTGCTGCCTATCATTGCAGTCTATCATCACTCATCAGTGCCACCTATGAGTGTCAATCAGTGCTACCTATCAGTGCCGACTATCAGTGCCCATCACTGCCGCCTATCAGTGGCAATCAGTGTCAGTCAGTGCTGTCCATCAGTGCCACATATCAGTGCTCATCAGTGATTCCGGTCAGTGCCCATCAGTGCGCCTATCAGAGCCTCCTCATCAGTGCAGTCTAGCAGTACCCATCAGTGCCACCTATCAGTGCCCATCAGTGTCACCTACCAGTGCCAATCAGTGCCACAGATCAGTGCTTGTCAGTGTTGCCTAACCATGCCAGTCAGTGCCGCCTATCAGTGTCACCTATCTGTGCCGCAGTGCCCATCAGTGCTGCCTTTCAGTACCCATTAGTGCTGCCTATCTATCAGTGCTGTCTGTCAGTGCCGCATATCAGTGCCCATCAGTGAAGCCTCATCAGCACACATTAATGAAGGAGAAAAATTACGTATTTACAAAATTTTATAACAGAAACTAAGAAAACCCTTTTTTTTCAAACTTTTTTAGTTTGTTTAGCAAAAAATAAAAATCCCAGAGGTGATTAAATACCACCAAAAGAAAGCTCTATCTGTCTCAAAAAAAATGATAAAAATGTGGTTTTGGTACAGTGTTGCATGACCGTGCAATTGTCATTCAAAGTGTGAAAGCACTGAAAGCTGAAAATTGGCCTGGGCAGGAAAAGGATGAAAATGGCTGGTAAGCAAGTGGCTAATACATGCAGCCTAGGTATCCAGAAAAGAAAGGACAGTGAGTGTGCCCCTCCTTTCAGCTGAACTAAACCTGGCCACATACCTTTTAAGTGTTGCAGGAATATGTGCCTTCACAATTTTTTGAGGTTGTAAGTGCTCCCAGGAACTGTGCCATGTTTATCTTTAGACTATAGGTCTCCTTTACAATAAGAAAAACACAAGGGGGCGCCAACCTAAGTCCAGTATATATAAAAAAGTGTATTGGTAATATAGCAAAATAGCTACTCATAAGAAAAATAAGGTATACAGGCATTGGAACATGTTCTCGAGGGGGCCAGTACAGGGGCCGGTGATGTCTGGTAATGCCCGGGTCCCAGGATTAAGATGTGGAGTGAGCTGTCAGTGGTGGACTCTGGAACCAGAGGGCAACCAATGGAGATGCAAGGACAGGTCAGGTGATGAGTCAGGTGATGCATTTCAAAGCTTCCACTTTTTCTTCAGACCAATAAACCTTTTATTTATACTTTCACTTAGGTTGGCGTCCCCTTGTGTTTTTCTTATATTCCTACAGAGTCTTCTTCACTCTATGGGGAGCTACTACCATTAGTGCCTACACCATGGACTATATGGACTTGTTTTTTTAAATGTTTCTAATTCATGTTCTTAACCATTTATACTTGTTGCGGTGTCACTAAGCCATTATCTTCTCACAGCGCCAAATCCTTACATTACAACTTTGCAATAAATCTCTGCTTTGCCCAAGCAGGGCAAAGCAACAGGTTCACCTTTGTGCAGACCTCCACAGATCTACTGTATATACTTCCCTTCCTTTCTCTTCCGCACTGCCATGCTCAACTCAAGGGAAGTCTAAGCTAAGCTTTGCCGTAGTCAC